GATGTATGATGGATTGGTCATTGATTATAATTTTTTTTTATTTTTCCTCTTCAAAATCATCATCAATAATAATCGACATGTTGATTGTAAATCAATATGTTTGAATAATCGACCCATATATTTGTTGCATTGCAACAAACATTACAATATGGTAATTGATTCCAAATTGTGCATACATTTATTTGGATTTGGACATCATTATTATAATCAATTTGATTTGATTGTCTTTGATATTTTTTTTTCGTTGTTAGAGATTATTAAACACAACAGCATAAAAGATTGAAACAAGTGAAAACACATAACACATGATCATCAATTGTTAGTAACAACAATCATTGATCCCTTTCATAGAATTTGGATATTTATTTTTTTTATCTATTCAAGTCAAATTGTATGACACATTTTTTTGTTGTTATTCAATTCGAATTCATTTTAATGAATGAAAACAAAATTAATAATGATTATTTTCTTCTGCTTTGTCCATCTTAGGAGATGGAAATAAATAAATCATCAAACCAAAAAACAAAAATTTAATAAAATTCTTCGACATTTTCATGTGAAAAAAACAAAATCTTTCCTAAATTGAAACTAAAATCAATCAAATTTCATTTATCATGTAATCACATATGAACGAATGAAATTAAATATACTTGCTTTACTATTTGTTTGTTTCACCATTGATTATTCGAATGGGATTTTTCGTTGTTGCAAAAAACTGTTATATATTGATCTCAATTTAAGTGGATTATAATAAGAAATTGATTAATTTTTATGAATCAAAAGAAACTAATCATTGATATTGTACCATTGAATAATCGTTATTATCATAATTTCAATAAGATTAACAAAAAACGCATACATTTTTCATTCAATTATCGTTCGTGAATGAATGTATGAACTAATCAATAATAATAAAAACACAGACAACAAGTTCTTATTGACATCTGGCCATTTTGTTCCTAACACGTTCCAGTTTTTTTTAAACCAATGATTGTCTTCGAGTACGATTATCATCATCATCATCATAAAGATCACGACTCGAATAGATAACAAATCTTTAATTTGTTATTGTTGATTATAAGATGAAATCAGAAAACAAAAAACACAATAAACATTCACTACGGATATATATTGATTGGTGGATAAAAGAAAGTGAAAAAAGAAAAGAAAACATTGTTCATCGAACACGATCATCAACATCAAATTCATTATAATTATTGACAGCTACTGTAGTTTGCTAGCTATTTTTTTTCATTTCATGTTCCAGAAAAGAATGAATTTTTTGTTTTTTTTCTTTTCTTTTTAATTATCATTATTATTATTGTTTCACTTATTGATCGTTATTCATTCAAAATTTTCCAAGATCTAAATAATAAACAATGACCAATATGTTATGTTTGTTTGTTTTTAACCTTTAGATCTTGTATAGTTTGATTGAGTTTGATCAGTTTATCCGTTGTTTTTTGTTGTGTTCAATTTTTACATATCCCGAATCAAAATCCCAGTAATGTTTTTTTTTTTTTTTTTTTTTTGGTTTGATGTTGGTTACTTTTTCTATTGACTTTGTTGTTGTTGTTGTTTTTGTTAGATCTAATCCATATTCGATAATTATAATCATTGTATAATAATGACATGTATGTGATATATTTAAGTATTATACAATAATTTATAATGTCATTTTGGGCAAGGTTAAATAATAATCAATGGTAAAAACAGACGGCACCTTGTTTTGTTTTGTTTTGTTTTTCGGTTTTGAAATTATTTATTGTTCATCTATGATTGTGCTTCTATGTATGTTTCTATGTGTGAGTGTGTGGAATTTGCTGCTGATAGGTGTGGGCGCCATTTTCAAGATTTAAAATAAATCCTTTGCTCTTGTTCACCTCACCTTGATGATGATGATGGTGGTGGTGGGAGGAGAAGATTATGTCTTATGATGAGGAAATTTTGTTTTGTTTTTTGAGACTGTGATTTTTTCTCTTGTAAAAATTATTATTATTATTGTTCTCATCTTTGGCTGCTCTAAATTTGTAATGAATGAAATGATTGATCATGATCCATCAATGTTAATCATCATAATCATTATCTAAGGTGTGTAATATTTGAGTGTGAGTGTGCATTATGGAGTAACAATCATTACGCCCTCAAAATATGAATATAATATCCGTATCTCATCTGTAGTTTTTATTTGTATTAATTCCGTTTCCCTTTTAGACATATATAGATCTCATTAAAAAACAAAGATGATGAATCGTAAATGTTTAAATATCCAACTGTGAAAACAAATTCATTATAACAATTTTTCCGATAAATTCTATAGTGACAATTTATAATTCAATTCACAATGTTCATTATAATTTAATGATTAATGTTTGATAATGAAACAAACCAACAAATTAAATTCAAACATCAAATGAATTTAGATACAAAGCAATTTTTTTGAATTTCCTTTTTATTTCTGATTTGCATTTTGATCATTTGGCTAGAATGAATAAATTGAAATAAACAAAACAAAAAATAATCATCAAGATCATTGAAAGCAGTGAAGAAACAAATATACAAAGTAGATTTCAATTATTTTTTCTTGATTTTTCTAATTTATCGTGGCATTTGTTTCACATACACAGAAACACAATGTTCCAATGTCATATTAATTATCATAAAAAAAAATTATCATGTCCATTCAATAAATATGTTGATTCGATGACGGTCAATTATTTATTAACTAGAAAAAAAGGTTAGCTGAAAAAGAAAAATATTTATTGCTTAATGCTGAAAATACAAAGAAGAAAAATTCATTGATTAGATTTGATTTAAATAAAAATAAATTATCATGGTGAAAGTTACCATCGTATTGTCATCTACATTTATTGGATAAAGATGACAGGAACATTTTACAATATCATCACAATTGTTGATGTGTTTGTGTATGTGTGATGAATGTATTTTTTGATCATTATCTTTGAATTTTGAATATAAATTTATTTTTAACTTATTCTCATTTGTTCAAACATAGTTTTTTTTGTTTTTCAAATTGGAACCGAATACATTTCGAAAATATTCATATATGGAATGATGATGATCATCATATAATAATGATAATCATACTAATCATCATCACCTTTGAAATAATAATGAAATTACATTAAGATTTTGTTCAAACCCTTTATTTATCATTCCCACATTTCATAATATGTGGTATGTGAAACGAATACAAAATGATAATGTTAATGGTGATGATGATGATCATCATCATTTTGGCACACAATTGTTAGATTGAATCATCATTTATTACGAATCGAATGGTCAAGAAAACAAAAAATGATGCTAATCACTGTGTCTATGTCTGTTTTTGACCGAAATCGAATCGGATTGTTTCGTACTGACCAAAAAAAAACAACATTAATAATGATTATCATTAGCCTGATATTTTTGGCCAAATAAATAAAGAAAAAGAAAAATCATTAAATAATTTGTTCGATTTGTAAATATTTTTTTCTAAATTTTTTAATCAATCAATATAAAATAAGATTCAAGCAAACGAATCGCCATATTGATGTGTTCAGAAGCTAAATAAAAATTGAATCGGAAAATCGAAAACTATTTACACTATTCATCCATATTTAGAGTGAAAGATTTTTTCAAGAATGAATTCCTATTGATGAAAATGATAAAAATTCATCATTTATCACGAAGAAAATTTTTATATGACAGAAATGTTTTGTTTTTGTTTTTTCATCAGTATAATGTTGATGATGATGTTTATTCAATTTTGTAATAATCAATAAAAAAACCTTTAGATTAATAAATGTTCACAAAAATTTTATTCCTTTTTCATTTATTACTGAACACATTCATCTTTTTTACCATTATTTCACCATTATCTTTATCTTGTTTCCTAAAATGATATCAAACAAAAAAAAAAGAAAAAAGAAGTATGCCTAAAATTAGCTTCCATATTTTATCTAAAAATTTCGATCACTATCTATGAGTGTTTATTTGAAGCTATTAAACAAAAACAATTCAATAGATGACCAGGTAATGAATGAGTCAATTCAAAAAAAAAAATTTATTTTAAACCCAAAATGATGGCAGCGAAAAATAAAAAAATAAAAAATAAAAGTTTAATTGTGATTGTGTGGAAAGAAATGATCACGATTCTTGATATAAAGAAAAATACTGAACTCTCACTTGGATAATAATGTCGGATAATATCAACATGAAAAGAAAGAGAGCGTACAGCACGAAAATTAGGCGCCAATTAACAAGATTAATTACCGTAGATAGTTTTGATTGTGATCTAATTCTTTTGATTTTGTTTTCTTTGGTATGGTTAGCCCAATCACACAATCAAATAAAAAAAATTAACCATTTGATTTTCATCTGCCATACATACATTATCATTTATTATTCGTCGTCAAAATTAATTTTTTGCTTCATTCCTGTTGTCATTATTAAAAGAATAGTGAAAGTAACTCAAAATAATAATGATCTAGTTTTTAAATTTCTACTAAAATTTCGAAGAATGTTTTCTTGATCAATGAATGGATCACGATCTTATTCATTCATTCATTGAATACCGATGACGATGATTAATTCTTGCTTGTTTTGTTTTGTTTTTTCTTACTGCCAATTAATCCAAATCGGATAAATGAATAATTTTTTTTTTTGTTGATAAATTTCAATCACGATGAGATTTTTATTTTCATCATCATTTTTTACAGTTAACGAAAAAATGAAAATCTTGTGAATTTAATTTGCTTACCTTCTTTTTCATTTTTTCCCAAATATATTCATTTATTATAATTGAAAAAAATTGACATTTTGACGATTCATATTCATATGATACAATTTTTTTTCTTATTCAATCACAATCATCGACAACATCATCAATGAGATCAAACAGAAAAAAATGAAAAAAAATCCATGTAAATTTTAAAATTTTTAATATCAAAATTCTAATTTTAGAACGAAATTCGTCTTTTTTTCAATTGAAACATTTCTTTTATGTTCACCCAAATAATACTACTTTCTTATCAACAACCAACATTTTTTTCTTATTTGACAGGATTTTTTTCACACTTACTCAAAAAATACATTATTATTAGATTAGTATTTCAAACTGATGCATCAGAGTTGGAACTGTTTGCAGAATCACTGCTACTGTCACAACTCTCAGAATTCGTTTTCAATATAGATGGTTCTTCCAACGATTCGCCAATCGTTTTCATTTCTGGTTTTTCGGCTATTATTTCAACAGTTGTTGTAGTAGTTGTAGTAGTCATGGTAATTTCTTTTGGATTTGGCAGTTCTGGTTGTTGTTGTTTTCCCAACTGTTGTGGCTGTTGTTTAGCAATTTTCTCTAATTGTGGACTCGATTGTTTTGTTATAGTTTTTGTTAGTGATGATGTTTTTTTTATCAATGTTTGATCATTATTGGCATCCTCTGGACTTCTTAGACAATCCCGTCGAAATACTTGGGTTTTTGATCTTCGAATCGACATTTGTGATTGGCTTGACATTAGCCCGGGTGTTATTTCGATTACTTGATCCAATTCTAATTTATAAATTATAATAATATTTAAAAACAAAGAATATTGAATTCATTTTTCAACTTACCATCACGTTTATGCAGAGTATATAATTTCTGTCCTCTTATATATGGATTATAAGGAATAATGATAGCCTCCTCTCGTCTATCACGTTTATAATCATCTAGACGACGATAAAAAATTGATGTTCGTTCGAAACGAATTAATGATCTTCTAGCTGCATCTGTAGTTATTTCAAACCATTTACAATAATTAAAAGAATATTCATAGTTATGTGTGTGTTTGTCTTACCGTTTCGATATGTAGCAACGGTTTTTTTATTACTTGTCGATTTTATTGTAATATGTGCATTTCTTTTAATCTGAGACGATGGTGAAACTGGCATTCGTGACATTTTTCTTTTGTCGATAAGTATTGATGAAACAAGATAAAGAGGCAATTCAGTTCTTGTTTGAAACAATGGTTGCTGTTGCTCGTCTGTGGATATTTTTGTTGTTGATATTGTTTCTGGCTGATCATCTTTTGTTGTAATAGACGCGGATTGTTGTATCGTCTGGTTTGGCGGTAAGGATTTCGGTTTCGGATCAAATTTTTCCGGTGTTCTTATAATTGGAGGTTTCGAAGCTGGCCTCGGAATAACTGGCGATCTCTTCTTCCTTGCTGAAAGTATCTTTGACATTGGTGAAATTGGCTTAAATGTTGATGAAAATTGTTTCGACGGTGATGAAATGGGCTTTGACACTGGTGAAAGTGGCTTTAATGTCTGTGCAAATTGTTTCGACGGTGGTGAAAGCGGTTTTGACACTGGCGAAAGTGGCTTTAATGTCGGTGATAAGGGTTTTGACGGTGGTGAAATTGGCTTCAATGTTGGTGCAAATTGTTTCGACGGTGGTGAAATTGGCTTTGATGATTTCTCTGACCCTGGAGAAGTCTGTTTTGACGAGAATTTCTTCAAATTTAGCGATTCGCTAGATGATTGCTTTGGCACTGAAGAAGTTGATTTTGATGAGGGTTTTTTCAAACTTAGCGATGCTTTTGATGATGGCTTTGACACTGAAGTTGATTTGGACGCCGGTTTCTTCAAACTTAGCGATGCTTTTGATGATTGCTTTGACACTGTAGTTGATTTTGAAGCGGGTTTCTTCGAACTTAGCGATGCTTTCGATGATTGCTTTGACACCGTAGTTGATTTTGACGCTGGTTTCTTCAAACTTACCGATGCTTTCGATGATTGCTTTGACACTGAAGTTGATTTGGACGCGGGTTTCTTCAAACTTACCGATGCTTTCGATGATGGCTTTGGCACTGATGTTGTTCTTTTCAAACTCAAAGATGCCTTCGATGATGGCTTCGGCAATGGAGAAGTTGGCTTCGATGATGGTTTCTTCAAACTAGGAGATTGTTTTGATGATTGCTTTGACACTGGAGAAGCTGGTTTTGGTGATGGTTTTTTCAAACTAGGAGAATGTTTTGGTGATTTTTTAGACAATGATGGAGACGTTTTCGACGATTTTTGTTTGCCATCATCACTACTGGACTTCACCACAATTGATTTTGGGATAATTTGTTCGATTTCTAAAGATTGTAACATAGATGGTCCGTCTTTAGTTTCGATTATTATTTCAAAGAATTTCGCATCTTCATCCGTTTTCGCTGCCATTGCTGCCGCTTCAGCTTCAGCTTTCAATGTGGCTATCTGAGATTTTTGTTCTTCAATGCTAGGCATTGGCATAGGAGATTTTCTTACGACAAACATCTCAAGTTTTTGACTCGACGGTTTAGCAGATTTTGGCTTTGCTAGAATTTTTTCAGATTTAGTAGCTGCTCTACTCATTTGAGGTTTAATTTTTTTTGTATCTTTAGTGACTTTTTTCGATTTTTTACTCTTTTCAAATAATTTTGGCTTTATTTTCGATTTACTTCGTCCAGTTGTTTTCAATGAAGACAGTTTTCGTTTTGATCTTTCTTTACTTACATCGGACATAGTTTTTGAGATTCTTGGTCGTAAAGCTGAAGTGGTTCTTGATTGTTTTGTTGAACGCGATGTATCTAAATTCCGTTTAGAAATGGAGCTCATATTTCTGACTGATTGATTTTTAGAAGAAACGGATACAGACTTTTTTACAGTCGGTTTTCTGACATTTGTTTTTGACGATTTACCAGCGATTGATATAGATCTAAATTTCGTTATACTTTTTTTCTGTGATTTGGTTGCATTAGCGCCCGTTTTGGAAATCGAATGTTTTCGATTAACATTTGTTTTGGATATCGATGGTTTTCGATTAACACTTGTTTTGGATATCGATGGTTTTCGATTAACACTTGTTTTTGAAATCGATGGTTTTCGATTAGCACTTGTTTTTGAAATCGATGGTTTTCGATTAACACTTGTTTTTGAAATCGATGGCTTTCGATTAACACTTGTTTTTGAAAACGAAGGTTTTCGATTAACATTTGTTTTTGAAATCGATGGCTTTCGATTAACACTTGATTTCAATTTAGTTTTGCTTTTATCAGTTTTGTTTTTAATTCGAGTTTTTTTACTAATCGATGTTTCTCTATTTTTGATTGGTGTTTTTACTTTTATCGATTGTTTTGATGGTGATCGTGTTTTATTAATGCTGGAATTCGGAATTGGACTTTTTCGTCCCGTTTTCGACAACTTGTTTTTCTTTGTGCTATTATCGGCCATATTTTTTTCTGAAAACAAACAACAATAATAACACCAAAATAATAAAAAGTAATTAACAAAAAAAATAGCTAACGTGTTCGATTGAAATGATCAAATAATTTATACTAGTTACGACAATGAAATTTTTTTGACTATGAATAAAACAAAATTCGATTAAATTCAAACAAAACAATTGATTAATTAGCTAATTAATTCTTTTATTTTTGATTGGAAATTGGTCAACTAAAAATATACATCGATAAACCGGTAATCCAAACAACGCAACAAATCCTTTCAACAATAATGTAAAGTTGAATTATTGGAAATCAAAGTGAAAATAAACGAACGAAAAAAAAATTCGATCACGTTTTGATGATCGACGAATTTAGGATATGAATGAATTGATTAGCCACAATTATTTTCGATTGCTTGGTGAATTTTTTTTCAAGTCTTCATCATTTGTTGGAAAACTTTCTGTGTTTTGTGGTTTAAAACAGTGAAGAAAATCATTGATTAGAAATTAATCAATTATTACAGATGCTATTTATGGACATTGATTATTATCAATAATGACGATCAGATCGATCTTGAATCTTCTATGAAAGTTGGAAATTTTTTCTTTTTTTTTGTTCCAAATCGATTAAAGTTGTGTATGTGAATCTTTTTTTTGAACATCCAACACGATTAGAATGATTATAATTTAATAATCTTTATCCCTTTTTCTTTTTTCTACCTGTAATTAACATGAATTTCTTCACAAAAACAAAAATTAATCCTTGTATTAGTCAAAATTTTGCATCTTCTTCAAATAGAACGAATGTAAGGATGAAAAAAAATAAAAATAAAAACAAGCAACAAATATGGTAATTATGCTAAAATTCTTTTCAATAATGAAAAAATTCCATATCTTTACATCTCTACAATCTATCGTCATTTAAAATTTACATTGCATATCTTTTCATTATAATAACGATAAAATCTATCACACTGTTTACCAATATTTATGAGGATAATTTTTCCATGTCATCATCATTATCATCATCTATATCTCATCGGATTTACTAAATCTTTGATAAAATTGTAATTTATTCAATCATTTCAAATTTTGTTTTTCTATCTGTCTGTCTTGTTTCAACGCTCTATTTTTGTTTATTCATGTGATTTATACGATCACTCGATCGATCGATTGATTGATTGATTGATGAATGATACTTCAAATGAAACAATCATTTTGTTTTCAAATTAGATCGATAATATATTCAACAATAAATTTGATGATCTTAATATGATGATAGTGTAAAATACTTTCACTATCACTTATTATGTGATCTCATATTCTATTGTCATCTAGAAAATCGATCAATCAATCAATTGATAAACAATCAATGTGTTATGTTTTTTACCGACCCTTTGTTATCGTTAACTAAAAGTAACAGGCTGCATGCAACAGGATAGTCAACAGGTTGACAAAAAATGCGATTTTTAACTCTACAATTGGGTTGAAAAAAATTCAAGTTGATTTTACCTTTCATTATTATTATTATTTGAAGCAAGATGTAATCTTACATTTGTTCCATCATATTTTTTCTGTAAATATAGCTACTGATTGAATCGTGGAAAAAAGGAAACTTTCCTTTTCTTTATGTTTTGCCATATGCATCTGATTTTCATTTCTATTTCTATCTCCAATCCAATAAATAATTTTTTCCTTTTTTTTTGTTGTTGATTTTGATATGAAAATCAATCCACCTGATAAAGAATGAATAATGATAATGTTTAAAAAAAAAATTCTAATGTTTTTCAATTTTTTACGGTGTGTCTTTTGATTTTTATTGAAAACAAAAAATTTTTTGCGTGTATGTGGGTGTGTGTGTGTGCGTATGTAACCATTAGGTAATCATTATTGCATACCACCACTGATAAACCATATTTTTAATGCTTATATTTTGTTGACAACACTTTTTGATTGCTTAGCTCTATCATCATCATCATCATCATCATCATCATCATAATGGTAGAAGTGATGAATAATTTTTAATTAGCCATTAAATTATGATCATAATAATAAAAGATAATTTTTTTCTTGTATATTCAAACAGAATATCTATTTAAGGAGATAATAAAGTCATTTCCTGTTATTGTATTTCTTTACATACATTTTTTTCTACAATAAAAAAAAGTGAATTTATTTCTGTTTTTTTTTCTGAACAAGATTATAATAGACTTTCATTTCTTTTGTGTATGTGTATGTTTCCACATATAATAACTTAATTATTGCTATTCCGGTTATTTTTTTTTTACTCATTTTTTGTTCATCAAAGTCGATGATGATGAACGACTTACATAATGTTTTTAGTTTATTATTGTTTTCGGTTTTGTTTTTGTTTTTTGTTGTTGTTGAGCTTTTTCATAAATCTAATCATTCAAAAAAATTTATCATTTTTTAAGGCGTTTTCAGAAAGGCAATTCATTTTTCATTCATTGTTTTGAATAAATTCAAGTTCCGGAATCCCCATCATGTGTGATAGATGAAATTAATCAAGCTATTGATTTTCACTTGCTGTTTTTTTTGGCTATTGATTACATTTTTGTTATCTATTCATATGAAAAAGCTTGATAAAGAGTATATGGAAAAACCAAACAAAAACAACAACTTTTAAAATAGAAATTACAAAATCAAAAGCAATGAAATAAACTCAAATTCAAATAAGTTTTTATCAATTTAATGGAATAAATTTCTTATCTTTATTATTCTATGGGTATATTTTTTTCCCTTCGAATTCATCGAACACATATCTTAATGTACAATCACGTTCTATTTTTGACTTTACTAATAAACACCACAAAAAAAGCTTTGGATAATTTATTTTAATGAATAAAATTTGAAATAAAATGGAAATTATTAATCTTTGAACATGGATTACCAATGAGAAATCACAAAAAAAAAGAATTAAGATATACAGAATGATATTTTCGTTTTTTCCGGTATGTCAACCAAAAATAGAATCTTTTTGTTGTTGTTGTTGTTAAAAAACATAATTAGATTTAGATAATATTTTTATCTGATGTTCGCTATTAGCAGTCCATCGAATTGTTCATTGATTTATATTTGATTGATCGATTGATTTTTTTCATGTTATTGTTTAAAACTGATGATCACCAATATTATTATCAACTTCAGGGGTGGTTAGTTATGATGATGATTCAAACAAAAAGAAAAAAGAAGCGTTAAATTATTCCAAAACAATTTCCGTATCTATAATACCGGAAAACTTTAGTAAATGTAATACATGTTGTTGTTGCCGTCGTCGTTGCTGTTGGATGATCAATCATATTTATTCAATTCAAATCGGATCAAATAATCATCATTTTCGTTTTTTTAGTTGTTGTTGTTAACAAATGTAACATTTATTTCCGAAAGTAAAAAAACTTTTTATTTTAATATTTTGTATCAATTTGTTTGGTTTTGTTATCTGTATATATTTATAATGAAAAAAAATGAATTCGTTTTACGAAAAAAAAAATGAATGAAAGATATTTTAAGATTTTGAGTTGAAATTTTTTCCAATTCAAATTGTTCTGTTGAACAACAACAAAGCACGTAATGTTTTCCGATTTGAATTCTAACTAAACGGATTAATCATCATCATAGTCACTACGCATTGCGATCATCAAAAAATATTTGAAATTTACGAACACATATTCGAATACAGAGGTTAATGTTGTTAATATCATTGTATTAGTTTACGAAGGAAAGAAAATCAAGTTTTAAGATAGCAGACTTTATGATAGGAGAAAAATTAGCAAATTTTGAGGATTTTCTGAAACATATATTAGACAGTTAAAACAACAACAATAAATAAAATCTCTTGTATGTTGAATGTTAACGTTATTTTTGTTGAAAATTTTCCTTGTAAATTTTATATTGCTTCTTAATTTATAACCATTTTGGAAGATTAATTATTTCATCGTTTTTACATTTCATTTCCGTTTTTTCAGAAATGAATTTGTTGTTCAGTTTTTCTGTTATTTATTTATGTTTACACATGAAATTCAATATTTGATGAAAAAAATTTGCATCGCGATCTTTATGATACAAAAGGGTGAAATGAAAAAATTAACCTAAATATTTTCAACAACAACAACAAAATCCTGACAATCTTTATATCTAATCTACTGATGGTTTGTCATTTAATTTCACAAAATTTGAAGAAAAAACTCTTAGTTCAAAAAAGGAAACAGGTTAAAATTATTTAAACGATTTCGCTTGGTTTGATTTTTTTTTATTTTTTAAATTACAAAATGATTCGATTGATAAATTTTCCAATTTTACACATATAAACAAAAACGATAAATTCGTGTGAATAGCCAATAATAGCTTCAAAAAAATACATCTGTTATGGACTGATAATAATAATTTTCATTTTTGCCTTACGATTTTCTTATTTATCATCATCGTTACCGTTTAAATTTTTGTTTTTGTTTTTCACTGTTCACACAATCTTTCAATCTGTGTTTTATTTCTCTTCACCACTCTAATTCAAAAGGGTTACGTTTGTTTTTGTTGTTTATTTTAAGATAAAAATCGATAGATCAAGATTTAAGATCTAGAAAACAAACTGCCACTGTACAGTTTTCTATCTCTCTCTGCTCTGTTTTGGCTATATTTTTTCAAATTGTTGAAATAAAGTAATAAAGATGATCCTATTTTTTTCACATAAAAACTATGTGAACATATTTTTTCTATTTTCCTTTCCTATCAATCATTATTATATCAATGTGTATGGTATTTAATTTTATCGAAAGTAAAATGTTTATTAAAAGAACAAATTCGTGAATCAATTGTGTTTTCTTTAGAAATATTGAACATTTCATCTTTTTTTCTTTTTGTTTGTCGGGTATATTTAAGGCTATATACGTGAGTAAATATCGACAATTAACACTTTGTTTTTGATCTGTACATAAAATATTAAAACGATCTTTATCTTCTGGCCATTTACGAATTAAAGAAAAATGTATTTTCAAATCTATAATCAATTGCAACAACAACAACAACAACAATATTCAATTGACTTTGATCACTTGTTTTT